CGCAGGTTCGGACACTTTTTGATTTGGTAACTTGTTGTTAGGACGTCGGCGAATGAGAGAATCAAGAAGAACCAACGTATACCCTAGCATAGATTTGAACCTTGGGGTATGGACGCACCACCTTGTGCCTGGCTGAGATTCCCATTAGCCGTAACTAACTGATAATTTGAATTGACTGCAACAACATTAGATTGGACGACATGTAACTTCTTGAACTTTATAAACAAAATCGATTTTTTCCATGCTTTAACTTAGCGATTATCATTAGTCTATGTAATACCACATTACGACATGTTAGTCTCACAGACCGTTTAGTTTAAACGAGCGCACTCGACCAATCTTCTCGCAATTACGAGTCTGCAGTTACAGGGCACATTCCATGTATCGTTTGAAAATATCGCAACTTTAAATTACTTAAAGGATAATATTATACTGAACGTGCAAATCGTCATTAGAGACTAATTGCAGTCAGATGTAAACCCCACACGATCATCATGAAATTTTAGACTATAACCGTAAGTCACACATCGATCGATATTCTCTTAATCAGTAAGCACTCGTCTAAAGAGCATTCTCACTAGGGAAACAATACATGATATTTCGTAGTGTTTAAAAAAGATTACACCATGCTGTATAGCTTTGTGACGAGCAGTCTATCGTAAAGATTTAACCTTTTTTTTTTCTTTGCAAAATTATTATAACATTTTATGAACAGTCTGTATATAAATTCTGTTGTAAATCCGATTACCAGTTACAGGTATAATGTACTTTCGATAAAGAATTTTTAACTATGGCCACTTCTGTAAGTTTAAAATTATTTCATTTCTGGGCATAAAAATACAATCGTTTTAAGGTCATCGTGCAAAAGAATCAGTCGAACCCGTAATAAAGGGAAATAGATTCTTGAGATCGAACGACACAACATTCCCTAAAAACGTATTGAAATTCTTTGATCGTTCAGATACAATTATGGATTTCCCACTTTGGTAGGTTATTGCTTTATTGACGTATAACTTGCTTTATAGCAAGTTCAACTCACTTTTGTCAATGACATTAAGTAAAACATTATTAAGCTCATTTATTGTTATTACTATTCTAATTTATATTATTAACTTATTGATTCATGTATTTCNTTAGTTATTTTATATCTTAAAAATAATTACAAGATTGTTTATGGTTTTAATTTATTTTATATAGAAGAATATTCGACATGATTCTTCAATTGAAACTAAGTTTTATACTGATTACAATAACCACTCATCGATATTTTAGACGTTTTCGTGATGGTAAGTATTTTTCTATATATTTTTTTACTATATAGAACTAGGTATTTTTGTTGAAAGTAATAATTTAAGAAAAGTAAATCTGACATTTTCTATGAATTTCTTCAATATCTGTTTATTCTTTACATCAGAAGATATTTATATACTGTAAATATGTTATTTTATTATAATACAATATTGATATAAATATCTCTTTTTAGACAAAATATACATGACATTATTCTATAGATAAGGCTTAATGCAGATATGTAAGAATTACACAATGTGCCTCTTAATATTGTTACAGAAATAGTAAGCATTAGATCTTTCAAAAAAATCGTGTTTTAACCTAATTCATCCAAAACGTTTATTGCTTTATATATCTGTGATCTTTTCGTTAATTAATTGGATATTATAAAATATGAGATTATGTGCAAAGAAAATTCTCAATGGATTCCATTGCAATTAATTACGAATGTGTGACCGCAGAGTCGGCACCTCTTCGACGCCTTGTCAGGATGACACCACTGTGTTTTGTGGATTGACACAGAAACAGGAATCGCCGTTTATCTCGTTATTTCGAACGGTCGCGTGTGCGGATTTCTGATCCGGGATAGAGGTGCAAGGAGATAGATAACTAGAAGAAATACACTCCACAAGTTTTTATGTAAATAAAAATACCCGTTTATTATTCGATATAGACTATTCACAGATTATAGTTGATAGATGCTTAGCCAAATCTAATCTGAAGCTGACTTATTACGTAACTACTACGACCCTAACAACAAGAGATAACGAGAGAGTAAGTTTACATTACTTCCGCGGAAAGATAAATATCTGTAAAATTCGCAGAAGGGTTGGGGGTACACGTAAAAAATCTTGAAATGGCACCAAGTTTTCCGAGAAGCGACGATTTTCTTTTCTTTCGGTGTAGCGATAAATCTTCCGGAACGACGGTCTATTGGAACAATTAGGCGGCGGCGGATATTAACGGTATTGTGTCAAATAAGATAGGTTTCCTTACTGTTTTTGCTTTAGTCATCAGCAGTCAAATTGGCTCTGGAGTTTTTATGCTTCCAATTAGCCATGCTTCATACGGCGCTTAAAGCCTCATAGCCTATACAGGCACACAGTTCACTGAACACTCGAGGACTCTGTCCGACTGATCGACCTCTCCCTTTTTATTAGGGGGTCTGCATTGAGTTATTTCCATGGCCTTTTTAAAAATTTTTTCATAACCGTCCAATAATTAAATTTTCTGTCGCAGATTACGGGTAACATACTCGATCTATCATCAACTTAGTGGAATATTTTTAAACAAAATAATTCCACTTAGTTCAGCTCTCACAAATGCAATAGTTTACAATAATTTAGAGGCGAATTCTCTGGGCTTGCTTAGCATGCGCCGCATGCTTAAGAAAAAGTTTTGACTGTCAATGTATTTTTTATATGAAAAATATGCCAATAATAATTTATTCTAACGTGTATACTCTTTTATCATTTGTGTTTGCTTTTACATTGAGAGCTAGCGGCTAGCTACGATTGTGGTAACTCGATCGCTTGCTCGTGTGGAGGTTTTCCGCTATAAACAAGTGCGCGCGCGTGACCTCATTCGAAGCACTTAACCCGACCACATTGTATTAAAAGCTTGCGGTACCCAGTCAGCATACATGTATTGTTTACAGAGGCGGGTCTACATAGGGAATTTTAGCGTTTAAGCCCTGTGCCCCCAATGTCAAGGGGCACAAAAATTGAATTATAATAATAAATTTTAATACTTTTCCATTATAGTATATTTTATTTTATATTTTATGTGTAGATATTATGGGCTTTATAATAGTTCATACTCTTTTTCACACCAAACAACGTTTCTGCCTATTGTTTACTACTAGAGATCGGTCAATTATTTTTGTTATAACTTTCAGCATGCCCAAAAATTTTAGTCAGGACTCGCCCCTGCATTAAGTAGATATTTAGTTTAAAAAAAATTAAAATAAAGTAGAAATGATATTATTTAAAGAATATTGTAATTGTTTAGTTTTTGTGATAATTTGTTAAATAATTTTGAAATTTTAAAATTTTTTTCATATTGTATTCACATGTGTAAGAAAAATCTATAAATTAATGTTCGGGAATTATTTGCTTTTTATAACAACCTTACATACGTTGATGTAAGATTATTACTTTCATGCTGCTCAGACACATAAGGATGGAAAAGTTGATAATTTATACATTTTACTGTATATGCAGTATATTATTTAAAATGTTTTATGTTATATTAAGCTATATATGTTCGGTAAAGTATTTTATAACAACAGATTGTACCGACATAAAATAATTAATTTTATTTTATTAGTTATTTTTTTATCAACAAACTTCCTTTTCTGCTACTTGTTTACAAAGAAACTGCTTCGTGTTACCTACTTTTAAACTCTCGTTTTAAAATTAAAACTTTCTATTTCAAAATTTGTTTTTATTTTGTATGATGAAGATAAAAATTTTCTAATATATCTGCAAAAAAATGTAACGAATTCAGTAATAAGGGTAAAGTTGTGGCAACATCTATGCAAAATCTTGTATATGGACAGTTTATTTTTATTGTTTATTCCAATTGTCATTTATTTATGATTAATTAACGTAAGTGCACGGCTTACCCGAGATTATGAAAGAAACATTTAAAACGCAGAAAACTATTAATCTTACAAAAACACTCTTAAAAATCAAAATATTTGAATCTTTATATGCAACACTTTAAGTTAACTGGCAAAAACAAAAATTAATTTATGTGTAGGAAATAAATTAATATTTTTGAAAAGAATTTATCTGTGTGTCGATTCAGATTCTGAGAAATATCGGTATAAAGTTTAGTCCTGATCAGTTTAAAAATAAAGATATGTATAAAGGACAAATAAACAAGATTTCATTTATGTACATACAGAAATATGTTCTAAATCATTCTAGTCAAGTAATTTTACAAATATAATAAATCTGTGTATATTTCAGATTCTATTCCAAACAAATTCATTCAGAAAGAGTACATTGTGCGTGTGGTGAAAGAAGATATTTATTCTTTAAATCAAGTGACTTTCTTCTATGATTCCGGCGAGCAAACATTGCTATTTACTGAACTTGTTAAAAACTCTTCCTGTATAGAAGTAGAAAAAAGTTACGTAAAAATTGTAAGTAGTTAATATTATTTATTTAATTATACATAACCCCAAAATAATTTTAACTGAGTAATTTGTTTTCATAGTTTAAAATTAAGGTAATACAAACAACGTTCGAGTTTTTTTTTTCTCTTCAAATTATTTTTATTCTGTCCAGAAACCACAAACATCAGGCGACTTAAAATAAAATATCTGAAAATAAAACAAACCGTAATAAAAATCTCTCACACATTAAAAACAATTTTTATGTCGACCATTTTTTGTGAGCTACGATGTCTATAAACATTAAAAAATTGTTAAAAATTTCCAATAGCATTTATAATATAAACTGAAAGTTCGTAGTGGATTTTGGGCAGTTCGAAACTATTTACATAGTTATATATCAGTCCAGAATAACAAATTTATCTTTTAGCATATGTGAAGCCCTTGTTAAAAATTTCAATGCTGCTATTTATCTATCCAGTGGCATCCTCTCTACAGAGGGTTGCATTTGATGAACTATTCTTCTCCATGTTTTTCTATTCCAGGCTTCTGTTAAATCCTTTCCAGTCCAGTGTTTGACGTTATCTCTTCAAGTCTTTCGGGGCCTTCCTCTAGGTCTTGTCCCCTCCACCAGTCCCTCAATCACCGTCTTTAGTAGTTGTCCTCCTGATCCTCTAGCCAAATGTCCAGCATATCGTACCTTTCTTTTTTGGATATTTATAAGCAGTTTTCTCCTCAAGCCCAGCCTGTCCAAAACTTCCTCATTTGTTATTTTCTCCGTCCAACTTATTCTTTGCATCTTTCTCAAGCACCACATTTCAAATGAGTTAATTCTTTCCATCATTTCATGCGTAAGAGTCCATGCCTCACATCCGTATGTTAGTACACTCCAGATCATTGTCCTTAGGATTTTTATTTTCAGTTTTATGTTAAGGCCTCTGTTTGTTAATATATGATAGATCTGATAAAAGGCAGCTTTTGCTTTATTAATTCTGCTTTTAATTTCCATTTTACATCTATTATCACTTGTTATCCAGCTTCCCAGGTATTCAAACTTTTTAACCCTTTCAAGTTCCTTATTTCCCAGAATGATCTGGAATTCCTCCATATCTTCCTTCTTTGAAACCTTCATTACTTTTGTCTTCTTTTCATTTATTTTCATATGGAATTTCTCCAATCCAGTTTTGAACAGTCGATTCAGAATTTTCTGTAATCCCTCTTTACTTTCACTCAGCAGGACTATGTCGTCAGCGTATCTTATGTTGTTTATTAAGCATCCATTGATTTTCACTCCTTCGTTAAAATCCTCAAGTGCTTCTCGCATCATCCACTCACTGTAAATATTAAATAACAGTGGTGAAAGTCCGCATCCCTGTCTCACTCCTTTTTCCACCCTTATCCAGTTGGATTCTTTCTCATCAATTTTTATTATTGCTTTCTGATTTTTGTATAAAAAGAGAATAATTTTAATTATCCCTTTATCTATTCCAATTTTTTGAAGTATTTCAAATAAAATTGTGTGGTTAACATTGTCAAACGCCTTTTCATAGTCCACAAAGCACAGATAAAGATCTCTGTTTTTTTCAATCATTTTTTCTCCAATAAGCCTAATTAATGTAATGGCCTCTCTAGTTCCTTTGTTCTTTCTAAAACCAAATTGTGTATCATTTAGTTCTGCTTCAATTTTCGGTTCTATTCTTCTATAGATAGTATTAGTTAAAACTTTTGACATATGGCTTATTAAACTTATTATTCTATGTTTGTCGCATTCCAGTGTTCCTGCTATCTTGGGTATAGGTATAAATATTAAATTAGTAAAGTCTGTGGGTAGTTGTTGTTCTGCAAGAATTTTATTAAGAACATGACTTATAATCCTTCTTCCCTCAAAACCCATTGACTTAAGCAATTCTCCATGCAAGCCATCAATTCCAGGTGCCTTCTTATTCTTCAATTTTTTCAAGGCTGCCTCAACTTCATCCTCCAGAAATTTAGGGGTTTCATCATCGTCATATTCCTCTTCCAGTTTACATTCCATGTTATCCTCTGTTTTATAAAGTTTTGTCAAATATTCATTCCATCTTACTAATTGCCTTTCCTTCTGCATTAAAATTTCTCCATTCTCATCCTTTATTGCCCCAATTTTTACTCTTCTTTTTTTTCCTGAGATTAAATTAATGTTTTGATAGACCTTTCTCAGATCTTGAGACACTTCATGTTCTTCTAATTCATGACAGATTCTGTCTAGCCAATCTTCCTTAGCTTTTCTTGCCATACTTTTCACTTGTTTATCGATTGTTCTATATTTTTCTTTAGCATCTAATGTATTTGCGCTTTTCCATCTTCTCCTTTCATCCATTTTCTCCAACACTTCTTTAGTAATCCAAGGTCTTCTTGCTTTTCTTCTCTCCTCTCCCAAAACCTGGTAAGCACTTTCTTTAATTTCCCCTTTCATATTCTCCCAAAGTTTTTCCACATTTTGTTAATGCGTTCAATGCTGCATGCATTAACAAAAAAGCTTTCCTATGAACAATTACAGCGAATACTATCCAATTCTTTTTGATGGCGGCAATGTTTCCGGTCTCTTTTGTTCTGTTTAATGCATGTATTATATACCATTTTAAAAACAGCCCCATTGCTTTAGTTTCATTCGATTAGTGATACGTTTTTTTATATGTACTTTACCGTTAAAGTATTGAATGCCGTTATTTTATGGAATACCTGCCTGGTTTAGGTAAAGTATGGAATGAATTAAAAATTTCAGACATTAAAACTAGTTATTCGATAGAATTACAGTAGAGTATACGTTATGAATTAAGTAATTAGTGTTAATTATAATATGAAACAGAATAATAAAATAAATGCAAATTAAACTAGTTAAATTATTATATTTAATATAATAAATAAATACTGTAAATCTATAATAATTTCTATATATTAAAAAAACAGTGCTGGAGAACATTATTTTTTTAGACAAGCACATCTTTTGTTGTCATACTGCCTTTTACATGAGCATGCTTTGAAGGCTCCACTTATGCCAACACTTTGGATTGTAGCGACTCAGACTGGAGTGGTGCCTCAATGCCCGGTATTTCGTCAAATTACATTGATTTTGGTTCACAAACAGCAAATTAATTACTGCAATATAACTGTTTTAGACGCACATTTGTTGTTTTAAATAGATTAAATCCGTGAGTAATTCTTTTTATAACAACAGAAAGAATGCATCTGGATTATCACGTCCTCTGTCAACGTCAGGCACCGGGATACGACCGTCATTCTTACAGATTCCTCAGATTGTGATATTTCTGACAGCATTTTCATTTTCTTTGCTTGTATTTCCTAACGTTCTTTGGCATTTTTTTCTTTTTTTCTGGACACTCAGTTTCTTTAAACGTAACCTACAGATTTTCTGTTGAACCTCATTTTCTAAAATTAAGCATTCTAGGTGATCCTCAGAATCTTTTGAACAAATGCCAAGTATTGTAGATATGGCATCTTGAAACAACGTGTCTTTATTTCGTGTTGCAGAAAGCCCACCTGGCAAATCATTATTGTTCAATAAAATAAATTCTTATCTTCCTAGAAATGTTGTTAACAATTCCACTTTCTTGCACCCTAACATGGCTTCGTAAAAAGATCTCTTTTTACCAGAGTAAAAAGTTCTGTTTCATGAACTGAATAAATGTTAGACATTACCTCCATAATGTAGATTGATTGCCTTGCATATAATTTGTCAATATATTTTATCTTGGATGTTCCTGTCTAGGCTTTCTTGACTCTGACTGTGCCCTAGTTTCCCGTTAACAATTTTAAGTTTTGTCTAAGTTATTTTTAAGTTTTCTATAAGCATATCGCAAAATTCGCCACTTTTATTAGAAAAGAGGTTACAGGGTGCATCAAAAACAGAAATATATCAAGTAAAATTGTACCAATTTCATCGGCGCTCTTTGTTTGGAGGGTCCTTGAAAAACAAACTTAGTTAAATGATCTTGGTACACAAGAATAAACTCGTAATTTTTATCAGGTTAAAACTAAATATGTATCAAATCTACTTGAAATATTCAATTTAGTTGTAAAAATATCATTTGCTTTACATCAACACCTTTCTTCCCCATGTTACTTTTTTGTTGGCAAGACTCGAAAACAATGAAAAGCATCTTGATAGCTTTGCTTAATCTGAAATATTTTTTTCGGTTACAACTGGGTGCATACATATACACTGGGCATCTTTGACATAACTCTTTATTCAAAAATATATAGTGGGTCAATACGCTTTTCGGACGTATGCCTTTCTTCTCAAGCTACATAATAAAACACAAACATGAATTTTTCGTATCACAAAATCTTTTATATTGTGATATGTTAAAACGTATCTTGATATTTCCTTGAGTAATATTTTCGTGGCGACGATTCAGTTCTTTTATTATCCGATCTCTGTCACTATGTCCAATATAAATACGTATTAAGTACAGAATATTAAACAGATTATTATTTGAACAATAAAATATTACTTGTTCTTTTGTCCGTTTCAGCGCAATATTAATGTCTCTATTCCTTCAACTTCCAGAACATCATGATGTTGAAATAACCATTAATTTATCGGTTTTGTTCTCTCAGTCACTCTAGCAGGTTTCACTTCTTGTATAAATTGTAATAACTTTTCATGAGTTATCAAATAATTATTGTCTTCTAAATTGAGCTAATATAGAAGGGATTCGAACCATTTTCTTATCCGCTTTACATAAAAAGTGATATAAAAAATATATAAAATTCTAAGTACAAAAGTCATAGATTTGTCTCAGCACTGAGCTAAATTCATTATTAGGTGGTCTTAATTATTAGCTTAGATATAAGTTTATGATTTACGTCTACTTCTGGTACCGAATCACTGAGTAACTAATTATTAATAAGAGATTTAAAACTCAATTGTTTAACGTTCATTTAGTTGAACTGTGTAAAGGACACTTGGTACATGTGCTTGGTCCAGTAGCGCGAAGCTATTATTCGTGGAATTATGAGTAAACACCGCTAAGGTAGAAGCTCCCCTAGCCACGGAAACGGTAGTCGCTGCGAGAGTAATCCTGCGCGGTACGAGAGGAACCGCAGGTTCGGACACTTTTTGATTTGGTAACTTGTTGTTAGGACGTCGGCGAATGAGAGAATCAAGAAGAACCAACGTATACCCTAGCATAGATTTGAACCTTGGGGTATGGACGCACCACCTTGTGCCTGGCTGAGATTCCCATTAGCCGTAACTAACTGATAATTTGAATTGACTGCAACAACATTAGATTGGACGACATGTAACTTCTTGAACTTTATAAACAAAATCGATTTTTTCCATGCTTTAACTTAGCGATTATCATTAGTCTATGTAATACCACATTACGACATGTTAGTCTCACAGACCGTTTAGTTTAAACGAGCGCACTCGACCAATCTTCTCGCAATTACGAGTCTGCAGTTACAGGGCACATTCCATGTATCGTTTGAAAATATCGCAACTTTAAATTACTTAAAGGATAATATTATACTGAACGTGCAAATCGTCATTAGAGACTAATTGCAGTCAGATGTAAACCCCACACGATCATCATGAAATTTTAGACTATAACCGTAAGTCACACATCGATCGATATTCTCTTAATCAGTAAGCACTCGTCTAAAGAGCATTCTCACTAGGGAAACAATACATGATATTTCGTAGTGTTTAAAAAAGATTACACCATGCTGTATAGCTTTGTGACGAGCAGTCTATCGTAAAGATTTAACCTTTTTTTTTTCTTTGCAAAATTATTATAACATTTTATGAACAGTCTGTATATAAATTCTGTTGTAAATCCGATTACCAGTTACAGGTATAATGTACTTTCGATAAAGAATTTTTAACTATGGCCACTTCTGTAAGTTTAAAATTATTTCATTTCTGGGCATAAAAATACAATCGTTTTAAGGTCATCGTGCAAAAGAATCAGTCGAACCCGTAATAAAGGGAAATAGATTCTTGAGATCGAACGACACAACATTCCCTAAAAACGTATTGAAATTCTTTGATCGTTCAGATACAATTATGGATTTCCCACTTTGGTAGGTTATTGCTTTATTGACGTATAACTTGCTTTATAGCAAGTTCAACTCACTTTTGTCAATGACATTAAGTAAAACATTATTAAGCTCATTTATTGTTATTACTATTCTAATTTATATTATTAACTTATTGATTCATGTATTTCATTAAATTGTTGTTATTGTTAAATGTTTCAGTGCGAAGATTATGATATGATGTCTTGTAATATGTACAATAGGACAAAAATAATTGAAAAGAAATCGTTAATACCAGATAAAATAAATTTTCTTATAGATGAAGTAAGTATAAAAAAATTTAACCTATAATTGTTCTTATTTTTTACAGTTTATAATGGGGTAACGTTGTGTATATATAATGTTGTAGTATTTCAGACACAATACGAATTTGTATGTATGATCAAATTTCACTGTAATTCAGTTTGAAAATATCTGTATCTTAATTAATGTATATAATTTTTTAAACATTAAAACCTTTTACCCACTTTTCGTATTTTCAATTCAGGCTTTCTTATGTTATTAGCTGAAAACCAGAAAGTTTTAGCTATTCTTTAGTGGTACTTTTGGTCAATTTTGGCTTCTGTAACATGAAAGTAATATAATTATGTTAATTTTTATAGTTTTCTTTTATTCGGTTTAATGCTTTGCTTATTTTTTTAAATTGCGGGCATTACAGAAACGTCTTTTCTGTGGCTGTTATTTTTTGGTCAGCTGTAGATTGAGAGCAGCTAAATACTAAGCAACGTGATTTAGTAAAGACCGAACAAGTAATTTATAAAATACTTTTGCGTTTCGTGCTTAATAATAATGTTTTCAATATCCCGTTAACGAATACCTAAATTTTACTGCATCAAATAGCCTGTTTTTAGAATTCTATACATTTGACAGGTTGGAAACTGTAGAATGTGTTTAGTATATTGCTACAATGATGTCATGATTATTCGGAATTACGAGCTTTTAGATGCAAGTGGAAAAGAGTTACGAGTTCTGCTCACATTAGCGTCAATTATTTGAAAATTGCTCGAACGATAGGACGTTGTCAAAAAGCTGTGATGTCTTTCCACTTAGTGTATTCAACGCACAAGACACTATAACAGAAAGATTACGCCTAAACGTTTATTTTGCAAATTTTTCAGAAATCTTAAGTCATGGGCAGAAGTCAAAATGATTCGGGCAGAATTACTTATCTGCAATATTTTGCATCTTGTCTGCACCATCTATAACAAAGTAACCTTAAAACAATTAAATAATTTTATGCAACACACAGAAACTTGATTCTAAAGAAATAAAGAAGAAATATTATCAAAGCATATATTAGTTAGCTATCTGCAGACTTCAATTAAGTTTTGTTCGCTGACGAAATCGCTT